CACCAGAGTTACTACCTTAAGCCAGCCTCTACCTACCTGGAGAAAGAAGCAAAATACTTTGGGGTCAAGGGGAGAGCTTTAAAAACAATAAATACACTGAGAGAGATAACCGTAGCAAAGAAGAAGGAATACAGATAAGGAAACATTGCTCTTTCTGGTACTTATATTAAATAATATGAACCTACAGTACAGATGAAACTATTACACGCTCTTACCTACTGTGGTTGCAAACTTTAACTATTCCAACACTAGAATTTCTAGTATTAGGAAGTGACTAGTCAGAGAGTGCTAGCATTTTTATGGCTTTGAGACAAATGTACAACTAACCTCTTTCTAGTTTTTAATACATATTTAGTTGCTAGGAGCTGGATTTATCTTCACAAAATCAACCTCTTTGCAACTTAATGTGTATCAAAACGAAAAAGGCATTGGCTGTATGTCGTAGGCTCAAAGCAATAAGAACACTATCACCATCCAACTGGTCGATTTCTAATACTAGAAAACTAGCGAGAAGAAAAGAAAAGTTTACAAACATGGAAAATAAGAGTATCTAATAGTCACTCATTTGCATTGTTGTTTCCTTCATTTAATATAAGTTCCACATAAGGTAGCGCCTCTATATCCCCTCTTCTTTGCCAAGATTTTCTCTCTCACTATATCCCTTGTTGTAATTTAAGGCTAGCCCCGAAGTATTTTGTTTATTTCTCCAGGTAGGTAGAGTCTCAATGCACCAAATCGAGTGCATCTGAAGGAAATCATTTTATCACTTTGTTTTCTTCTTCTCTGTCTCGCCTCTTCTTCAAGGTGTGTCTATCTCTGGATTTTGAATACAAGCCTACTACACTATCATGCTATCCAAAATTAGTTTGTAGTGGGTGGAGTTATTATTTTTAACCTTGCCTCTTCTTCAAGGTACCGTCTATCTCTGGATTTTAAATACAAGCCTGCTACACTGTCATACTATCCAAAGTCAGTCTGTAGCGGGTGGAGTCATTATGACTAAACTTGAAATTTTATTCATATCCTAGTGAGCTAACCCCGCGGTCTCACATCCATATTTGCTGAGAATCTATAAGAATTAATTTTTTCTGAGATGAACAATTAATGTCCTCTTTTCTATCAAAGTTTAAAGCTCAGTCTTCTCCACATAATTTATAAGCAGGCCTACCAGAGAGTAGTTTACCTCTATTATAAACTAAAACCCTAAGATAGATGACTAAAGGAACTGCATTATTTCATTCTCTGTTCCGGCCCAACTCCATACGCAAGTCACGTAACCTCTGCCACCATCTCCATGGCTGTAACCATCACCTTCATGATGCCCACTGCTGTAACCTTTGCTAGTAATTGCTTTAGTAACTTCCTCCACGAACACTTCTGAAGCCATCTCCGCTTCCTCAGGATTAGCTTTTTTAGTTTTTTTTAATTGGTGTTTTTATGATCCACTTTCCTGTACCAAAGAAAACTATAAAATGCTACTGAGGATCATAGAAAAGACCAATAATTTATCTCAGATCAACTAATAAGGTAGAGTAGTAGTTTCTTCTAATTCAACATACGATTTAATTTAAGGAGAGTGCTTATGTAAGTTTCCTGACTTTGGTAATAGGACATTGGGATGCGATATATGTATTTAATCAATTAAAACAAATAGATATTTTTCTACTGGTAAGGCTAGGATAGTTTAGCATGCAAAGGTCACACTAAACATATATTTCCGTAAAGAAGTGGGTGAAAGGAACAAAGATAATACAAGAGACCTGGAACTTAAAAAGGAGAGGACATGATGCTTTATGAAAGTTGAATAGTTAGAGAGAAAGCATTTGGAACATACATGGTGAAATTAACAATATTTAGAATAATACTTGTACTTTAATCTGAATTAATAGGTTACCTACTATAAAGTGCTGATGGTTTAACGAGGAACTCTAAAAGATATTAAAGAAAAGGGTGTCTTGTAAAGATCAGCAAAAATGTAAGGAGTCATGAGAACATGTGAAAGATAAATTAGCTAAGTAGGGCGTCCTCCCTCACTCCCTCAAACAACTTCAGCAGTCATGTTTATGATTTTGTTGTTTAAGACTTCGTGGTTGCTCCCTAATTGAATTTTTATGCAATTATGGTTACCTCTTATCCATGATATGTCACCTGCAGCTCCAGAGGCAAATGCAGCCTCAGCCTCAAATGAATATGATGCATTCACAGACCTTGTCATTTCAGCAGCAGCAGCAGCAGCAGCAGCAGCAGTTGGAAAAAAGTTACGCAGGCGCCAAGCAACCACGCCTCGGAGTTCTGTAATGATGATGGACAAAAGCCAGCAGCCAATGGTGGATGTCAAGATTGAGAACTCGATGGAGTCATCCCCAATTGATGCTGCCACATTCAATGCCCTCAATAAGCAACATCCAGTGCAACTGAGACAGCAACAGTTGCAGCAGCAACAGTTTCAGCAGCAACAGATGGCCATGGCAAACCACAATGCTGCGCATTCAGGCCAGCAACAGTTCAGACAATTACAGTCTGCACAAATTTCTCAGCTTCAAATGCAGTAAGTATGATTGGGCATGAAAATTTATATTAGTGCAAATTTCACAAGACTCCCTGAATTTTTGGTTCGCTGAACTTTTGAGGGGTTTGCGCAAAACCCTCATGAACTTTGTATGTCATAGGAAACCCCCTGAACATACAAAATTATATTAAACCCTTATAAAATATTTAAAATTTTCATGTAAAATGTTAATGGGTAGAATAGAAAGTTTAGACTACCTTTTTTTTTTACTTTTTACATGCCCCTACCTGAAAAGGCTAATATATAAGTTATATTTATGAGTTGATAGGGGTAAAATTGTCCAAAGTTGTCACGTTGAAGCATTGAATAACTTTTAAGTCATTGATGTCAGTTATGGAACTTGAAGAAGGGTTTTCTATGATTTAGTGTTCACAGGGGTTTTGTGCAAAATCCTCCTCACGTGACAACTTAAAGTAATTTCCATCCGTCACGTGACACCAGTAATTGGGGGTATTTTTATGATTTATAAAGTTCATGGCGGTTTTGTACAAAATCCCCTAAAGTTCAGGAGGGTTTTGTGAAAATAAACGTTATATTATGAGGTCATATGCATATGGCTGAAGACTGTCCACCAAGTTATATCACATTCATGGGCCTCCTTGAATTGGTTGTCATTTAGTCTTCTGATTGATGCAGGAGCGCATATGGCATGAGGAATTCTCCTGTGAAAGTAGAGGCATTCCATGAGCTGATGGGTGGGGATTCAACATTGAACCATGAGCCTGAGCATAATAAATTAGCCTCTCCCTCGAAGTAGAAACGGGGCGTACATAGGTGGTAATGCGATCATTTCTGGAGGATCAATTTACTTACGTTATATGGTGTGGGCAGAAGGAGCAAAAAATTCAGAGGCAACTTTATTGTTTTTTTCCTTTTACCCTCTTCTTTTGAGTTCTGTAAACATATACGTCTGTGTTGTAGATTAAGACTCAACTTCCGTTGTATTTATGCCGTCACATCGAAAACATTAAGTGTTGTATATATTACATTGTAGAATGGGTAGAAAACCTTCGTTTTGTGAAGTTCAAAGAAGTGCAGCTCTTGATTGCCTAATCGTGCACATCTTTGTTGTTTTATTGCTTTATCCGTCAGTTATCTAGTTATAAAGAAAATGTATTTTTATTCTCTTTCTGGCTTGGTTTGGTTTGGTGATAGACTTTAATTAAATTAGACGGGGGGCCTTTCTTTAATTAGTTTTATTTATTTTATTCCCACAAGGGAGTCGAGGTGACAGAAGTAGGAGTTTGTTGGATGAAGGACAATCAAGTGACTCTGAAAGCTAACGAACAATCAACGGAATTGATAAACAGCTAGTGATGAGGTTGTCTTCGGTTGGATTTGGTGTGCAAATTGCGCATTCTTTTTTCAAAAAAAAAATATATATATATATTTTTTTCTTTTGTGGACATGGAGAAGTGAAAATACATTAGATATCTCAATTATTAGCTGGTTTGACTCCGGCGGCACATACGTCGTTCCTTGTTCTCTTGTGCTGGATGATTCTTCCCGACTGGATGATTCTTTCTTCTAGTTCTTGAGTTGACAAATGAGATTGTTAGGTGTGTTTTTACTATCAGTTTTTAATCGGCGTACTTTGAATACAATTTTGCTCCCATCAAAATATTACGCGAGTGCAATCATTAATATTGTATCAGTTCAACCGAATTATTCTACAACGCGATCGGCAACTTTAAATTTATACGGGAACACGTATCACGGATCGCCTTCCACTTTCTAAAGTGGACCTTTGAGAAGAGAGTATTGATGCCTTGTGAAAATTAAAAGCAAAATGTGAACACGAGAGCAAAGCTCCTCTTTTGCTTAGAAAGCAGATTCCTACACATAAGAAAAGGCTAAGATAGCTCCTCGATGGTCCGTGTAGCTTTTTACAGTGCGGTTCTTCTTGCCAACTCTACTGCTGGAGGCTCGTTGCTCTGCAGCTGAGAGCTAATAAAGGATTAGTAGTTAGGAAAGAGGGGAGGTCTAAAGAAAAAGAGCTCAAAATGATTGTTCCTTCTAAAAAAAAAATTGAGTATTTTTACATACAGCTAGCTGTGGGTGATTATAATCACGCCTTGCTTCCCGGTCAATCAACCCATCTGTAATATTAGCTTAGCTAGCTGCAGGGAATCTTCCTATGTGTTGACAAAGGCCAATCTTTGTCATCCTTTTGACCCCTTTCTTAGAGCCTCGTCCAGGGTAAGGAGTAGAGACACAGACAGACCCAAGATTTTACTGATTTAGTTGGACTTACCAATAAAAAAAAAAACACATTTGTCCATTAACTCAAATCGTTCATTGCTATCTATATATGTCATCAAATCGAAGCAGATAAAAAACCACACGGGTTGAAATTTTATATTTTTTAATTCAAGCAACTAAAAAAACCAAACTAATTAA